CAAAGACTGGAAGAGGGTATCACATCTCCTCTAACCTCATTGCTCACACACACTCTCTCTCTGGGCTATCTTTGTCCACCTGTTCAAGAGTACACCTCAATTCTCAGTCTTAGGAGCGAGTCAAACGTCCACTCTTGAGCTACACACCCTGGTCATCCTGACTGTAAGGGGCAGGAACAGATCACACCCTGAAGTATAAACCCTGTGTCTGGCCTTCTCACCAGAGTGGGGACATGTTCTCAAGTTCATGCTGCGGGGTGAGGCAAATACATCAGAAGCATTCGCCCTGGGGTCAAGCTCAATTTTACTTTATAATCTGGCCCAGCTTCCCTCTGGTAGGCTCCTGTCTTGTTTTGCTTCCTCAGTCGCTCTGGTTGGCCTAGAAAATAAATTCTCCTTTACCACTTGCCAACATGACTCCAGGCAACTAAGGTGTCATCTCACTTCTCCATGTCATCCCTTTAAAAATAAGAATACAGAAGTTTGTTTATTTGAAAGGCAGAGTGAGTCTTTTCAAATATGAAATTGTGTTATTACACATCTAGTTGAGGATTAAATACCATTTATCCCCTCCAAGATTGGCATGTGCCAGCATTGTGGCACAGTAGGATAAGGTGTTGTTTGAGGCACCTGCACTGTGTGTCCCATATTGGAGTGACAGTTCTGGTTCTGACTCTACTTCTGGCCCAATGCCTTACTAACATGCCAGGGGACGTTAGTAACATGATGGTCCAAGTACTCAGGCCCCACCCACATGGGCAACATCTCTCTTCAATCTGGGCCAGCCCTGGCCATTGCAGCCTTTTGGAGGAGTGAACAAGCAGATAGAAAACCTCTCTCTCTCTCTGTTTTTCTGTAACTCTGCCTTTCAAATAAGTCATTTTAAAAAAAATACTATCTCCTTATCCATGTTTTCATTTTCCCTGGTTTCATGGATCTACTGTCAACTACACTCCAAAAAATAATATTAAATGGAAAATTTCAGAAGTCAACAATTTGTAAACTTTAAAATGTACTTACCTATTTTGAAAGACAGAGAGAGAGACATCTTCTACCTTTCCATTTCCAGCCAGGGTGGTCCAAGCCAAAGCCGGGAGCCTGGACCTCCACCCAGGTCTTTCTCATGTGAGTAGCAGGGCTCCAAGCATGTGGTGCATCTGCTGCTGCCTTCCCACACCTGTTAGCAGGGAGCTGGATCAGAAGCAGAGCAGCAGGGACCTGAACCAGCCAGCCTCAGCAGCTACTCCATGCCAACCCCAATTCATAAGTTTTATGTGACAAAATCTCTTATTACGGCGTATTGACATAGTTGTTTGCTTTTATTATTTTAATTATTATTGTCTGTTGCTATGTTTATTTTGTAAATTTTACCATAAAAATGTGTTTATAGAGGAAAGTGTGGTTTACGTAAAGTTGAGTACTGTTAGTGGTTTGTTTAAAAAACATTGATTGATAATCAGGTTTAGCGAGAGAGAGGGTAAGGGAGAGAGAGTTTTCATCCACTGGTTCACTCCATAGATGCCTGCAATGGCCAGTATTAGGCCAGGCTGACACCAGAGCCAGGAGGCCCTTCCAGGTCTCTCACGTGTGTGGCAGGGACCCAAGGGAGCTTCTTAGTCTCTGCAGCTTTCCCAGGCGCATTAGTGGGGAGCTGGATCAGAAGTGGAGCAGCTGGAACTTGAACTGGCACCCATATGGGCTGCTGGCATTGCAGGCAGTGACTCTCCCTGGTTGTACCAAAATCCCAGCCCCTACTAGTGGTTTCAGACATCCAGCAGTAATAAGAAGTTGGTTAAACTGATTAAATATATCCATTTTATAAGGCTACCATTCAACTCTTCACAAACTATATGGGGCTCACACAGGCCAATGTGGAAAGATTACGCTCTGTAAGCGGAAAAAACCACCACATTACACAGTAGTGTCTTACTTCTTATCTGTCTGCTCGGCAGGAAGTCCGCCTTTCGCAGCACCTTTCTCCCACATCCCTACTTCTGACACATTCTTCATCATGAGGTAAAATGAAAGGGCAGATACGTGTATGAACTCAACATAGCCACTACTTCTAGTTTTTAGAGAGGTCAGGACTTATCTGTCGGCTATAAATGATAAGGATTTAGCGAACTCCGACATGTTATTTATATACAAGTGTGTATTTATATTTTCACACATATATGTATCTAACTTTTTAAAGACTGATTTATTTTTCTTGGAAAGTCAGATTTACAGAGAAGGAGAAACAGAGAAAGATCTTCTATCTGCTAGTTCACTCTTCAGGTGGCCTGCAATGGCCAGAGCTAAGCCAATTCAAAGCCAGGAACATCCTCGGGGTCTCCCACATGGATGCAGGGTCCTAAAACCTCAGACCATCCTTGGCTGCTTTCCCAGGCCACAAGCAGGGAGCCAGAAGGGAAGTGGAGCAGCTGGGACATGAACAGGCACCCACATGGGATTGCAGTACATGCAAGGCGAAGACTTTAGTCACTAGACTATTGCGCCAAGCCCTACAACTAAATGTTTAATGAACAACATGTAAAAATTAGAATCAGAAAATAAAAAAGGGGGCCCGGCGGCGTGGCCTAGCGGCTAAAGTCCTCGCCTTCAACGCGCCGGGGTCCCATATGGGCGCCGGTTCTAATCCCAGCAGCTCCACTTCCCATCCAGCTCCCTGGATAACCCAAAGCCTTAGACCCTGCACCCACATGAGAGACCTGGAAGAAGTTCCTGGATCTGGCTTTGGATCGGCATAGCACCAACCATTGCATTCACTTGGGGAGTGAATCATTGGACAAAAGATCTTTTTCTCTCTCTTTCCTCCTCTCTGTATATTTGACTTTCCAATAAAAATAAAATAAATCTTTAAAAAAATAAAATTAAAAAAGGATTTGCAATGCTTTGGGAATCCCCCTGAATAACAGGTGCTGCTCGAGTGACAGAGGGAGAGATATTCCCATCTACTGATTTACTTCCCAAATGGCTGCAACAGCCAGTGCTGCTCTGAGCTGGAGCCGCAAGTCAGGAACGCCATGTGGGTTTCCCATGTAAGTGGAAGAGATCCAAGCACTCTGGACCATCTTCTGCTGCTTTCCTGAGTGCATGAGCAGGGAGTTGGATCAAAAACAGAGCAGCCGGGATTCGAACCAGCACTCTGATATGGGATGCTAGCAGCGGCTTAACCGGATGCACTAAACGCTGTCACTTCTTACAAAGATTTCTTTATGCAAAGAGACAGAGGCAGACAGAGATGTTCTTTTCTCTTAATCATTCTTTCCATTCTTTCAATCAATAGTATCTAAGGTTTTCTTTGCAACAAGCTCCCTGCTGCGCCTCGGGCTCACAGTGCAGAGAAGCACGGACTCAGTTATGAGGGTCCCCCCTCTGGCTGGCAGGGACCCAAGGACTTAAGCCATCACAGCAGCCCCCCAGGGCAGACATTAGCTGGAGCCTGAAATGGAGAACCCACGTACTCCAATACACTGTGCAGGCTTCCAAAATTACATGTCGAGGGCTGGGCCCAACTCCTGCGTCGTGTGAGTTTTTTTTAAACAAAATTCACGGGAACTTCCGTTGGTCTCGAGGCTGACCAGCTATGATTGGCCAATAGCCGTGTCTGTGAGGCAAAACTGCCCATCAGGCCACCGTGTGCGATTCTCTCTTCAGTTGCTGCGTCCACACGGCGTGAGAGAAGGTCAGGCTGTAGGTTGGAGCGGTTCTGGTTCTTGAGCAGCCGTCTGTGGCCTGAGTGTTTCCTCCCTTTCCAGTGGACCGCCTACCGTGGGAGTGTGGCAGGAATGACGCCATTTTGGCTACCGGAAGTCACATACCCGGCTTCCGGCTTTCTGTGACTTCTTTCTCCCCTAGAGATAACAAGCGCCCAGTCCTTCCCAGGACCCACGGGATGTCACAGCAGGTCTATCCATATGCCGGGAACTGAGTACCTGCCCTTCTCTGCCTCCAACCACCCGACCCCACCTACCCAGACAGAGAGAGCCTCCGTCACCCACTCCACCCCACAGCCTTAACTCTCCCACCCCGAAGGGAAGCCAAAGACCTTCCAGTCGTCACCCACAAGGCTGGGAGGGTGCCATATGACCCTTCATGGCATAATGTCCTTTCCTCTTGTTCATCTCTCTCAGCACCAGCCCTACTACTGGGCTTTCAAAACATCAGGTTTGCCCCAGCTCAGGCACGGCCATTTTCTCTCCCACTTGAGCCACGACTGCCACCTTGCTCCCTTCACAGGCGCCCTGGCCTGCTTTCTCTGTGTCCTCCACTCCTCTAGTTCCTCCTCCGCCCTTTCTCTTTGGGTTTTCCTCTTGCTGGGGCAGCAGCAAGCAGCCGCTCCCTAGCGTTGCTTCTCACCTTTGCCCCACGCTGCCACTTTCTGCCGCTTGGGTTGGTGGAGGGTGGAGCGGCTGTCAGCCCTGTGGGCCAGGTGTCATCACTCAAGCTTCCGGCGCCAAGTCTCTGGCCGCAAGTCCCAGAGGGTGTGGGAGTCGGGAACTGAGGCTGGGCTGGTCCCATCAGGGGCTAAGAATGGAATCCCTCCTCACCTGGTGGCTGGACTGGGTACTGCAGATGAACATCTACCATGAAGTCAGAGGATGCTATTCTTCTAAGGGCTTGTGAGGTCCCATGTTACGTGCCACCTTCCTCCCTCCCACACACACATCCGTCTGCTCCCTTGCTACAACTCTTACATTCCCCAGTCAAGACCTCCTGGTCACCTTGGCCTCCTTGTTGCTTCTAGAACATTCAGATACATTCCTGCCTCAGGACCATTGACACTTGCTACTCCTGCTGCCCACAACACACTTCCCCAGCTGACTGTGTTTCCTCATTTCCTTCAGGTCTCCAAGGTCAAGCTCACCAAGGCTTCCTCTAAACACAGTCACGTGCTGCACCCATCCTGCTTCTGTACCTCTCCCTTTGGGCTCTATCCTAGATGCCCTTAGCAGCTATCCCTAACTCATGACCAATCTTATCTATTGCAGTAGTAATGGCGCCTCCACCAGGACAGGATCCTGGCCACCTGGGTTGGCAGCACACCGCCGGGGTCTGGTCCAGTGGCAGTGAATGAATCTCAGGGGAGTGGTGAGCCCCTGGAACGTACCAGGTAAATTCCAGCCATTATGTTATTTCTTACTGCAAGTTCAATATACCTGATGGGAAAACCCAGAATCTGAAATGTTCAAAAGCAAACAAAATCCAAAAACTTTCCAAAAAGTGTTTTTTTGTTTAAAAGGCAAAGAGACAGAAGAACCTTCCATTTGCTGGTTTGCTTCTCAAATACCCACAAGAACCAGGAGCCTGACACTCCATCTGGTCTCCCACATGGGTGCCAGGGCCATCACCTGCTGTCTCCCAAGGTGTGCATTAACAGGAAGCTGGAATATGGGGCCGAGCTGGAATTCCAGCCTGGTCATTCCAAGCAGCATCTTAGTTGCTCCACCAAATGCATGCCGTCAAAATCAGAAATCTAGGGGGCCAGCACTGTGGTATAACAAGTTAAGCTGCCATCTGCAATACCAGCATCCCATATGGGCATCAGTCTGAGTTCACAGCAGCTCCACTTTTGATCCAGCTCTCTGTTTATGAGCCTGGGAAAACAGCAGAAGATGGTCCAAGTGCTTGGGCCCCTGCACCCACATGGGAAACCTGGACACATCTCCTGGCTTCTGGCTTCAGCCTCGCCCATCTTGAGCCTTTCCAGCCATTTGAGGAGTGAACCGGAGAACGGAAGATTTTTATCTCTCCATATTTATATATATATGTATATATTTATATATTTTTTATATATTTATTATATATATATATATATATATCCCTCTCTCTTTCTGTAAAGAGAAAAGTAAATAAGTGCCAATAATCTTTTTTTAAAAAAAAAAGTCAAAGTGTTTTGAATGCTGATATAATATTAGTGGAAAATTCTACTGAATGAAGCACAAAATTTTTAAAAATAAACTATTTTCAAGATATATGTATAAGGTATTATAAAGCACCCAGTCCCCAAGATATATCCTTATTTCTACCAACATATTTTTAAAAATCAAAACACTTCTGATTAAAGGGATACTCAGTCTATAGAAAGAAATGGTGATGTGGCACAGTAGGTTGAGCCAGTGCTTGGGACAGCCACACTCCATGTTGGAGTGCCTGGATTCAGTCCTGCCTACTTGGCTTCCCATCCAGCTCCCTGCTGATGCATCTGGAGGGACAGCAGAACTTGGATCAAGCAGTCCCCACCCACGTGAGTAATCAGGATGAAGTTCCCGGCTCCTGGCTTCCACCTGGCCCAGACCTGGAGAGTAAATCCGTGTGTACATGCCTTTGAAACAGATTATTAGAAGGAAGGAAGGGAGAGAGGGAGGGAGAAAGAGATAAAGAGAGAAAGGAAGAAAGGAGGCAGGGCGCCCCCTGGTGTTTGGTGGGAGCCGGTGGTCCCGTGTACCCATGAGGAAAGATGTCTTGAGACGTTACCCACTAAGGCACGTCACTCAGGGAAGTTCATGAAACTACTTATTACAGGAAGAAACTTTCAACTCTTTTGCAGTATAATAAATTTGCCTTTTAATTCCATTTCCCATGTACTTTTAAGGCATCTTCGTGATTTGTTTTCCTACCATGAAAACGGAATTATTTTAAGTAGAGAAAAATGTAATTAAAGCTATACTAAAGCTGCCTGTATGCTTATCACAGCAAAAAAAAAAAAAATCAAGCATTAAAATAATCTACAGTGTAGTGTTACAACTCTAAGTTATCATCGTAGTGGGGGGGGGGGGGAGGAAATCATAGCTATTCCAAATGCTTTTTACTGTGTGTTCAAAACAGAAAATAGGGGCCAGCATGGCGGCGTAACAGACTGACCTGCGATGCCAGCATCCCATATGAGTGCTGGGGCTTCATATCCTGGCTGCTCCACTCCTGTTCCAGCTGCCTGTTAATGTGCCTGGGAAAGCAGCAGGGGGTAGCCCCAGGCTTTGGGTTGCTGCACCCACGTGGGAAACATGAAAGCAGCAGCTCCTGGCTCCCAGATTCAGACCAACACAGTTCTATCTGCTGCAGCCATTTGAGGAGTGAACCAGGAGACAGAAGATCTCGTTTTCTGTCTCTCCCTCTTCCCGTGAGTCTTTCAAGTCATAAAAAAATAAATAGAATAAAAACAAGATACTCTGGGACTTAGATTTGCTAATTTTTAAAAAATTTATTTGAGATACAAATACAAAGACGAAGACTTTGTATCAGTTGGTTTGCTCCTCAGATACTCATGGTGGCTCCCCAGGGGCCAAAGCCAGAAGCTGGGAACTCAATCCAGGTGTCTCAGGAACCCAACTGCCGGAGCCCTCAGCACTGCCCCTGGAGTGTAGCACTGGTGGGGAGCTGCAGTCAGAAGCCAGAGGCAGCTGTCAAACCTCCGCTGTTTGACTGGGGTGTCTGGACTCTTAGGCCGAACGCCCACTCCACGGCCCCTCATCTTTAAGGACCTTTCCTCTTCCGTCTCACATCCCACGCTCCTGCCTTCACCCGGAAGAAGCTCCTGGCTCCTGGCTTCTCCTCTTGTATTCCCTTCTCCCCCATACATGGGAAGAAGAAAAGCAAAATGTGTAAACAGTGGTCTCACCCACTCTCCTCTGATCCTTGACCCCTCCCACACTGATCAACTATGTAAACATCATGAATAATAATAATAATATCTATTTTATGGGGACCAGCACTGTAGAGTCAGTCATAAGTTTAAGTGCCATCTGCAGTGTGGCATCCCATATGGGCACCGATTCTAGTTTTAGCTGCTCAACCTCTGGCTCAGTTTCCTGCAAATGTGCTGGGGAAAGCAGCAGAGGACGGTCCAGGTCCTCGGTGCCCCTCGCACCCAGGGGAAGACCTAGAGCAAGTTCCTGGTTCATGGCTTCAACCTGGCCTAGTGCCGGCTGTTATGGCCATTGGAGAGTGAACCAGCAGAGGGAGACCTCTCTCTTTGTCTCTCCCTCTCTCTCTGTAACTCTGCCTTCCAAATAAATAAACCTTTCATCCCCCTCCAAAAAAAAAAAAAAAAAAACCTGTCATAAAAGAGTTATTTCATTAGATAGGGCCCAGCTCATGACTAGATCCTGTCCTGGCATGCACGGGAATCCCATGTGGGTGCCCGTTCATGCCCCAGCTGCTCCATCTCCCTTCCAGCTCCCTGCTTGTGGCCTGGGAAAGCAGTCGAGGACGGCCCAAAGCCTTGGGACCCTGCACCCGCGTGCGAGACCCAGAGGAAGCTCCTGGCTTTGAATTGGCTCAGCTGCAGCCATTTTAGGAATGAAGCAGCAGATGGAGAATCTTTGTCTCCCCTTCTCTCTGTAAAATCTACTTTTCCAATAAAATTAAATAAATCATAAAGGAAAAAAAATGGTTACAGACAGATTTTCCATCTGCTGGTTCACTTCACCCCAACAGCCGGGCCAAAACCAGAAGCCTGGGGCTCTTCCTGCATCTCCGTGTGGGTGAATGGAGCCAAAGCACCTGGTTCATCCTCTGCTGCTTTCCCAGGCACATTAACAGGGAGCTGGATCAGAAATGGAGCAGCTGGGACACAAACCAGCATCCATATGGGGTGCTGGCATCACAGGCAATGGCTTAACTGGCTACAACACAATACCAGTCCCTTCCTCTCTTTTGTTTTTGGAGTTCTTCAGGGTGGTTATGCTCATTCCCATAATTCATTTTCACAGGTAAATAGTCTTTCAGGAGTGGGTATGGGTGCAACAGTTAAAATCCCACTTCAGACTCTGGCCTCCCCATACGAATGTTTGGGTTCAAGAACCAGCTGCGCTCTGAATTCCAGCTTTCTGCTAGCCCAGACCCTGGTAGGCAGCAGGTGCTTGCTCAGGGGGTGGATCCCTGCTGCTCAGGTAGGGACCCCAGCTCCCAAGAATTAGGGGAGTGATCCAGCACATGGATGCTCTCTTCTGCTTATCTGTCTCTCAAAGAACATAAGCGAAAAGTTTAAGAGCTGTTCCATTGTGCTATTGCACTACAATTTATGTATGCAGTCTTTTTTTAATGTTTAAATTTTTGTAAATGTTCATTGTTATTTGAAAGGTAAATATGTACAAAGAAAAAGACACACAAAGGGAATTTTTTTATCCTCAGGTTCACTCCTCAAGTGGCCCCAATGGTCAGAACTGAAGCTGGGAGCTTCCTCCCCACCTACCCACCTGTGTGCAGGGGCCCAACTCCTTGGACCATCCTCCACTGCTTTCCCAGGCCATGAACAGGGAACTGGATGGGAAGTGGAGCGGCCAAGACACAAACCGAAACCCACATGGGCTCCCGATGCAGGGGAAGGATTAACCAATTGAGCCACTATGCCAGGCCCAGATTTTTTTTTTAATTATTTATAGATTCAAAGGGTGACATCAGGCTGATATTGTGGCATAGCTAATAAAATTTCTGCCTGCAATGCTGGCATGCCATATAGGTTCAAATCCCAGCTGATCTGCTTCTGTGTCAGCTCCCTGCTAACAATCTGGAAAGGCAGCAAAGGATGGCCCAAGTGCTCGGGCCCCTGCACACACCTGGAAGACCTGAGGAAGCTCCTGGGATGGTCTGACCCAGCCCTGGTCATTGTAGCCATCTGGGAAGTAATCAAGCAGAGGAAAAATGTGTGTGTGTGTGTGTGTGTGTGTGTGTGTGTGTGTGTCTCCATTTCTCTTTGTAACTCATTCAAATAAAAAGAAAAGAGTGACAGAGATAGACAAATGTCCCAGCTGATTCACTGCTGCGTGGCTGTAACAGCCAGGTCTGTGCCATGTTGACCCCAAGATCCTGAAACCCATCCCAAAGGCCCGTGAGGAGGGGGGCAGGGCTTTCCCACGCGTGTTAGCAGGAGCAGGATGCTGGTGTGGCAGGCAGGAGCTTACCATGCTGCTCCACAAAGTTGGCCCCTCTGGAGATTCTGAGGTGTAAAGCATTTAGACTATGCTTGTTAGAATGGTGTGACTACATGAATGCTTTCACATGTTTCACAGTACATGCCATTATGTGAAAATGACATCGTTTATCGTAATCATAGCTGATAAGCAATTAAACAGTTTGCAGAGCGCTGATTTTACAAATGACACAGTAATCAAGTCTCCCTCCCTATAACTATCTGGCACATATGCAGGATAAATCCTAGAACTGGTGTTACTGGGTCAAAGGTGCGGTGTGCGGTCGTTATTTTAACAGGCTCCGGCAAGCTGCCCTGCTGAGCCTATCACAGTTTCTCATATATATTAACTTCGACACAGACATTTTAGAACAGAATAGTCCCAAGGGAGCCACCGGATGATAAATGACTCAGCAGACGCCAGGTGAGGCGAAGCCACTCCCACAGGGGGGCGGGACAGGTGACTGAACTTTGACTCCTAAATCTCTTTAAAATCTGTGTTAACATTTCAGCACGTTGATGCGCCACGTGTGGACTCAGTGGTAGTGATTTAACTTCTATTTGCTCCTTTTCGCTTTTTTTTTTTTTTTCCTTTTGGCCTACAGGATCGCTCGTGTGCGTTGCCAGGTGACCGATCTTGCCGCTGCAACTGAGTGAAGTGACCGCAGGGGATCCTCCGGCCACTCCCGAGCCACCTTTTAAATCAGCAGGGGAAGCGCACGAAAGCACGTGACGTCCACCCATGCGCCAGTGTGTGGTCCGGCCGTAATGTGTCCTTTAGAGTAAAGGAAGCCCGCCTGTCGTGGCAGCGCCGTCATTGGATGCAGCGGCCGTCAATCACCGGGCTTATAAATACGCGAGGCCGGCAGCTCTTGCTTCAGAAAGGTCCGGGAGGCATCGTGAAGCGTGCGTTTTGCAGCGCGAGTCTTGCAGAGGAGAGACTCTTGGGGTAATATCTGACTGTTACTTCATATTAACTTAAACAAGAAAATTTAAAAACCCCTTCCGCCGCCTGCCGAGCCGGTGCCATGGCGGAAGCCGCGGTGACCGGCGCCAGCGGAGAGGCGATGGCGGCGCTGGTGGCAGCGGAGGGCCCCAGGGGCCCGGCGGGCTGGTCCCCGGGCCGGGGCTTCGCGAGCTACCGGCCCTTCGAGCCGCAGACATTGGGCTTCAGCCCGACCTGGCGGCTGACGAGCTTCTCCGGCATGAAGGGCTGAGGCTGCAAGGTCCCGCAGGAGACTCTGCTCAAACTCCTGGCGGGACTGACGCAGCCGCCCGCGACGCCCTCGCTGGGCCCCAGCCCGGTCGGGGGCCAGGAACCGGCGGCCCAGGAAGCCGGCCTGGCGGCCGGGACGGGCCCCAGCCCAGCCTTGCCCATCCTGACCATCGGGCTGGACTCGTGTGTCATCCCGCTGAGGCACGGGAGCCTGTCGCTGGTGCAGACCACGGACTTCTTCTACCCCTTAGTGGACGATCCCTACATGATGGGGCGCATAGCATGTGCCAACGTGCTGAGCGACCTGTACGCCATGGGCGTTACCGAATGTGACAACATGTTGATGCTGCTCAGTGTGAGCCAGAACATGAGCGAGGAGGAGCGAGAGAAGGTGACTCCCCTCATGATCAAGGGCTTTCGAGATGCCGCGGAGGAAGGAGGGACCGCGGTGACGGGTGGACAGACGGTGGTCAACCCCTGGATTATCATCGGCGGCGTGGCCACGGTGGTGTGTCAGCCAAACGAGTTCATAATGCCGGACAGCGCGGTCGTGGGAGATGTGCTTGTGCTAACCAAACCCCTGGGGACCCAGGTGGCTGTTAATGCCCACCTGTGGCTGGATAACCCGGAAAGATGGAACAAGATCAAGATGGTGGTCTCCAGGGAGGAGGTGGAGCTGGCTTATCAAGAAGCGATGTTCAACATGGCTACGCTCAACAGAACTGCTGCCGGCTTAATGCACACCTTTAATGCCCATGCAGCCACAGACATCACGGGCTTCGGCATTCTGGGCCACTCTCAGAACCTGGCGAGACAACAGCGCAATGAGGTGTCCTTCGTCATTCACAATCTGCCCATCATCGCCAAGATGGCCGCCGTCAGCAAGGCCAGCGGGCGCTACGGCCTGCTGCAGGGCACCTCGGCCGAAACCTCCGGAGGTCTGCTGATTTGTCTGCCCAGGGAACAGGCCGCTCGCTTCTGCTCTGAGATCAAATCCTCCAAGTACGGCGAGGGTCACCAAGCTTGGATCGTGGGCATTGTGGAGAAGGGCAACCGGACAGCCCGCATCATTGACAAACCTCGAGTCATTGAGGTCCCACCTCGTGGGGCCGCCGCTGCTGCCCCTGCTGCCCCTGCCTTTGCTCCCGACCCTGCCAACGCCTCCGCGGAGCCCAGCGCGTGAGCTGGGCAACGCGGGATCATTGGGGTCTCGGAGCCTCCGCCCACAGCTGTGGGTGATGGACAAGAGTTGGTTTTGAGACTTTTCCAAAGAAGGCTGCCCTTTGTGGGTGATTCCAGCCCTCCCCTCAACCCCAGAAAAGCTACCTCCCTGTACATTCCAAGGCCGGGAGAAACAGGTTGAGCTGGGGGGTGGGGATGGGGAACAGCTATTTGTTCATCTCCTGGGGAGATGAGGAAAAGAAAAACCTGTTTTTCTCTCCAAAGCAACATAGGGCCTTCCCACTTTGAGGGGTTTTTCTTTGCACTGGATCGATATATTAGTGCACAGGGAGTGAGGTTATCACAGCTACATGCACATAAAAATGAATTGCAAAATGAAAAACAAAAATTTCCATTAAAGTCCAAAGCAAATGAGCTATTGGTCAACCTAAATGCTGTATCCGATTTCTCGGCAGCACTGGCTCTTTCCTGTTCTGGATGAGAATTGAGCAGCTTGTCCAGTGACTGGGAAAGGAAGGCCCCCCCCCCCGCCCCCGTGGCTTGCTCTCTGATAATGACGCCTCTCCCTCTAAACTCCATTACGGACCTGGGGGAGGCAGAGCGAACCCCAGAGCCCAGGCCTCGGCGGTCTTTAAGATGTTCCACCTTGTGCTGCAAATTCCTCGTGATTCAATTTCATGATCTGGCATTTCTAGGTAAATAAAGGGACTTTGTTAACAAATTAGTCTGGCTAATGTTTGAGTCTTTGGGACTAATTCATACTCTCAGAATGAGCTGGTTATTATCACACTTGGAGTCTGGACAGGGAATTTAACACCCAGGTTTAGGTGGACGCTTTGGCCCTTGAGACGGCAGAAAAAGGACTCGGCATGGGCCTCAACTAAGGAGGAGAGAAGGAGCGGAAGATGGGAGCGGGTGCTGTGGTGCCACGGCCTAGGATGTCCGTGGCACCTGGCAAAAGGCTGGTTCCAGCCTCGGCTACTCTGCACTTGTGATCCAGCTTCCACTCAAGAGCCTCGGAGGCAGCGGACGATGGCTTAAGTACCTGGATTCCTGCCACCCAATGGGAGGCTCTTGGTTTGGGCCAAGCCCAGTCCTGGCCGTTGCTGCCATTGGGGGAGTGAACCAGCGGATGGAGCAGTCTCTGTGTTAACTCCACCTTAAAAAAAAAAGAGGGCGGGGGGAATCACAGGTGGTCAGTATTAGGATGCAGTGGGTTAAGCCACTTCCTGCAGTGTTGATATCCCACTCCGCAATGCCTGGTTTGAGTCCTGGCTGCTCTACTTCCAGTCCAGCTCTCTTATTAATTACCTGGGAAAGCAGTGCAAGATGGTACAAGGACTTAGCACCTACTACCCACCCACGTGGGCTACCCAGTTGGAATTCAGGCTCTTGGTTCTTTACCTGGCCTGGTTCCAGGCATTGCAGCCTTTTTAGGGGAGTGAACCAGTGGATGAAGGATCTCTCTCCCTGCTTTTTAAATAAATCTTTAACAAAAAAAAAGACACATCTAAAGACAGATGTCAGTAATTCTTGGAAGATGGAAGAAGTGGGAAGCATAGTAATAACCTTAGTGGAACAGAGGAGGGGTCCCCAGGAGAAGCAAGGAGCTAGCTGCCGGTACTGAGGAGGTCAGGATGATCAGAAGGATGCCGTCCGGGTAATTAGACCTCTGTCACTCTCAACCCTTCCCCTCGACCCTGCCTCTCACCTCTGCAGGTAAAAGGAACATAGCAGAGAGAAGGCAGAGAACTTGACTGAAAGGGAAAGGAAAAAAACCTGAACCATCAGACTGTTGCAGCCCCTTCCTCCGCTTGGCTCTTAGAAGCACTGGTCACAGAGTTTCTCCCGGCCTCTCCCTGGCACAGGTGAAACAGGAGTAGCCAGAGAAGGTGACCCTGGCCACCAACAGGATGCATAAACATGAGCCAGTGAAAGCGACACTGCCCCAGGATGCCTCCTACTCACTGCCACCCTCCTAAAGGCTGCCTCCTGTAACACGAGCAAGTCAGAACTGCTGGGCATCTGGGGCTGGAGCAGCGGGGTAAGCTGCCCGTTGCAAGGCCCCTATCCATGCACCCATTCAGTTTCAGCTGCTCTGCTTCTGAACCGGCTCCCTGCTGGTGCTCCTGGCAAAGCAGCACCAGAATCCCCAAAGTACCTGGGACCCTGAAACCTACCTGGGAGACCTGAGTGGTCTCCTGACTTAAACTGTTGAGTGAATGACAGGAGGGAAATTTCTCGTTCTGTCATTCTGCACTTGCAAATAAGATTTTTTAAAAATGGGGCTAATACTGTGGCAGAGTGGATGTCAGTGCATGTCTGAGCTGCTCCACTACCGATCCAACTCCCTGCTCGTGGACCTGGAAAGGCAGCAGCGGATGACCAAGTGCTTGGACTCCGTGACCCACCTAAGAGGCCTGAGTGAAGCCCCTGGTTGGGCCTGGTGAGTGCTGGCCATCGCAGCCATCTGGGGAATAAAATGGTGGATTTTTTCTTCTTCCTAACTCTTTTTTTTCTCTCTGTAACTATAACTTTAAAAACCTGTTTTAAAAAAGAATATCCACAAATTTTTAAAAAGATTTTTATTGGAACATCATATACACAGAGAAGAGGAGAGACAGAGAGGAAGATATTCCATTTGCTGATTCACTCCCCAAGTGGCCTCAATGGCCGATGCTGCACCGATCTGAAGCCAGGAGCCAGGAGCTTTTTCTTGGTCTCCCACATGGGTGTAGGGTCTCAAGGCTTTGGGCCATCCTGGACTGCTTTCCTAGGCCACAGTAGGGAGCTGGATGGGAAGCAGGACCACCGGGACATGAACTGGCACCCATATGGGATGCCAGCGCATGTAAGGCGAGGATTTTGGCCACTAGGCTACTGTGCTGGGCCCAAAATGGTTTTTTTTTTTTAATGCACAATAGGATATCAAAATAAAACTGAAAATTTTAACTCAGGAGACAAGATGAAGTTGATGTAATTTATCAGAAATAGTAAAAAGACAAAAAGATATATAATTGAATCATATATAATATTCAGAGTCAAGAAGGTTAATATCTTTCAAAGGCAGGCATTGTGACATGGCAAGTAAAACCACCACCGGACGCTGGCGTCCCATATGGGCATGACTTTAAGTCTCAGCAGCTCCCCTTCAACCAGCCCCCTGATAAGGTGCCTAGGGAAGCAGCACGTGACCAAAGTGCTTGAGCCCCTGCACCCATGTGGGAGACCCAGAAGAAGCTTCTGGCGCCCGATTTCAGCCTGGCCCAGCTCATTTTGGGAATAAACCGTCAAATGGAACAGCTCTCTCTCTCTCCCTCCTTCTCTGTGTGTGTGTGTGCCTTTGTATATCTCTAATTTGCCTTTAGAGATCCAGAAAGAACAAGTAAAAAAAAATCATCAAAGAATAACACACATTCTGCACTTTAAAAGCTGTAAATCACTTGCCCCTTACTTTGCCAGGATAGTGAGTTTTTTCTTTTTTCTTTTTGTAAGAGTATTTTATTGGAAAGGCAGATATACAGAAAGGAGGAGAGACAGAGAGAAAGATCTTCTGTCTGATGGTTTACTCTCCAAGCGGCTGCAACGGCTGGAACTGAACCAATTCGAAGCCAGGATCCCAGAGCCTCTTCTGGGTCCCGCATGTGGGTACAGGGTCCCAAGGCTTTGGACCACCATCCACTGCTTTCCCAGGCCACAAGCAGGGAGCTGATGGGAAGTGGGGCTGCCGGGATTAGAACCAGCATCCATATGGGATCCTGGTGCATGCAAGACAAGGACTTTGGCAGCTAGGCTACTATGCCAGCCCCCTACTCAAGTTTTATTACATTTCAAATTTCCTGGGGTGAAGAGTCTCTGATAGTCATAGTAGCAAATATATGCACCGTGTGTGTGCAGCAGTGCTATATACATGGTGAAGTGCTATATACATGGTGAAGTGCTATATACATGGTGCCTCGGCCTCCCAACACCTTCTAATTTAGCAACAGAACCCAAGTTGCAGGAAGATTCAGAAATTTTTCAAGGATTGGTGTCTGGCCCAGGACCTGAGACGGCTGCCTGCCATGTTAGAGTGCCTGGGTTCAAACCTTGGCTCTGTTTCCAATTCCAGCTTCCTACTGCTGTGGACCCTGGAAGACAGCAGGTTCCCATGGAAAACCTGGATTGGGTTCCTGGCACCGGCCTTGCCCAGCCCCACCTGTAGCAGTCATCTGGGGAATGACTGGTAAGTTCAGGAAAACGTCTTTATCTAAAACTCCAAAAGTTGTCCAAGGCTACACAGGCAGACTTGGGTTGCAACTTTGGTTGCTTGGGCCTGCAGCACTGACACCCTGCATGAGTACCAGTTCGAATCTCGGCTGCTGCACTTTTGATCCAGCTCCCTGCTTATGCCCTGGGGAAGCAGTAGAGGATGGCCTAAGTCCTTAGGCCCCTGTACCCATTCGGGAGACCTGGAGGAAGCCACCTGGCTCCTGGCTTCAGCTTGGCCAAGCCCCAGCCAGTGGGGCCATTTGGGGAATGAACCAGCAGCTGGAAAACTTATCTAACTCTGCTTTGAAATTTTTTTTTAAAATAAGTTAAATTTGAGCTTGGTGTGATAGCCTGGTGGCTAAAGTTCTGACCTTACATGCATTGGGATCCTATATGGTTACCACTTTGTATCCCAGCTGTGCCACCTCCCAAAGCCTTGGGACTCTGCACCCACGTGGGAGACCTGGAAGAAGCACCTGGCTCCTGGCTTCAGATCAGCTCAGCACCGGCCATTGTGGCCACCTGGGGACTGAATTATCAGATGGAGGATCTTTCTGTCTCTCCTCTCTGTATATCTGCCTTTCCAATAAAAATAAATAAATCTTTAAAAAAAAAATGACTTGTCTTCTGCTAGGTCAATTTCACCTCAATCAACTATTTAAAAAAATATAAAGAAATAATGTAAATTTATTTAACCTCAACAGCCAAAAAGAAAAATAAATTCAGTCTCTCCTAAATCCCCACGTGCCCCTCCCCTCCATAGCCCTCTGACTCCTGCATGTTCTGTCTGCCACGCGTGCTAGGTGGGAGCGCACTGGTCACTCTGTCTGCACCGGCGCTAGGCAGGAGTCCAGTTTGAGGATAACAGAAGGGCTTCAGATGGAAAGCAGGACAGAACTGAAGGTGGGCGCAAAGCTAAGGCAGCAACGGGAGGAAGTAAAGAAAAAGGAGAGGGCTCTGGAGCTTATGGGGAAAGGAAGGGAGATAGAGTGAAAGCCAAGGCGTGACCAGGTGAGATCAGCCCATGAGCTGCACCAGGCCCTAAAAACGCTCTGTTCTCATCTGTTCTCAGAGCGTGTCTAGGCGAGAGCCAGGACAGGGCACTCCCCGATTGGCTCACTTTCTAGCGGAGGGGTGGGCCGTAGGCAAGCGCAGGAAAATGATTGGATGCTTCTCCGACCTGGCGCCTCCATGCTCCCCACATGAAGAGGAAAGAGTGGTAAGAGCTGTGAGAGCCAGAACAGATAAAGAGAACAAAGGGCAAATGAGGTCCTCTTCGGAACAAGTTTGGGAGAGCGCTTTGAAGTGCAGTTCTGCAGCCAGTGGGGCTAGGATTACGAGGTGGAACCCACAGAGCAGGGCGTGGGCATTACCACCCAAAGACAGAGCAGGCTGTATGGGCAGGGCAGAGAAGACACAAGTGGGCAGCTGACGGGATCCCAGCCTGGGTGTGGGAGAGGACTGGGGAATTGAGGAAGCACTTCTGAGAAGTGACACAGACTCCTGTGAGCCTGGCTGGGCTAAGCTAAAGCTTTCAGCTGAGG